CGAAGAGAAGACTGAGGGTGGACATGATAACAGTTTTCAAGTACATAAAATGTTTTTACAAGGAGGAGGGAGAAAAATTGTTCTCTTTAGCATCTGAGAATAGGACAAGAAGTAATGGGCTTAAATTGCATGGTTTAGGTTGGATATAGGAAAAACTTCCCATTAAGATATTTAAGCACTAGAATAAATTGCCTAGGGATGTTGTGGAATCTCCATCACAGGAGATTATTAAGAGCAGGTTAGATAAGCTCCTGTCAGGGATGGTCTAGATAATACTTAGTCCTGCCTTGAGTGCAGGGGACTGGACTAGATGGCCTCTCAAGGTCTCTTCCAGTCCTACAGTTCTATGATTCTATGATAGTGAACAATTAGCCTGTGAAACGTCTTGCCTCAGTATATCATTAAGGAGAAGAGCTAAGCAGGATTCAAAAACAGAATGAATGTTTATATGGATAACAACAATGTGTAGAGCTTCAGTAGTAAAGATTTAAAAAAGACAAATCAGAAAAACCCCAGAGCTTTGGAAAGGAGAGAATCCTCAAGGCATAAGTCAAGCTCCATCAGAAGTTATGAATAAATTTTTCATGGGAGCTAGTAACTGCCTACTATTCCTTCCTCAGAAGCATCTGGGATTGGCCATTGTTGGAGGCAGGATACTGGACAAGGACTACTCTGATCCAGCATGGCAATTCCTGTGTTCTCCTGTACTCAAACATATGGTAATTTTTATAGAAAAGGCATTTACAAAAAATGTAATAAACCATTATGGATCTCTGCCAGTCACTTAAGGATTAAAGATGGGATTTTCAAAACCACTCAGTGTTGGGCTAACTCTGCTCCCACTGAATTCAAGGGATATTTGACGTCAGTGGAGGCAGAATTAGGCCAATGCTGAACTTTTTTGAAAATCCCATCCTAAACTTTTAATTCTTTAATAATTAAAGTTTCTAAGCAATGGGGACTTAAAGTTGTAATAGTTGATTCTTGTCCTGCACTGGGTTTTTGGGAGGGCTTCCAAGAAGGCCCACCCACAAATAAAGGAAGGTAGGTGGCCTAACATCCTAAGTAGTACAGGACTACATGCAGCCACTATCATTGACACTGTACTCTAGGGTGAGAACGGAACCAGAATCCTTTTCAGCCACTTGCTAGAAAGTAGCTCAGTGTGGCTGGCAGCTACTACAACAGAGAGCAACCCACGCTGGCCTGCAGGGAAGGGCTTGGGCCACATACTGTCCACCTCGGAAAACCTTTTTAGAATGCTGGGGTAAAGGGGATTACTCTTCTTGGCAGCTCTCCACAGAACTTAAAAAGGAGAAGGTGGATGAAAGCTAGCAGTTCTCTCTCTATAAAGACACCTAATGTAAGAGAGAGGGGTGTAGATGGCATGGGGCCCCTGTAGAAGCTGTCATGAGTGGGGAAAAGCATGAGATGTGTGTGGTGGGTGAGGAAGGGGATGGTGATTCTCTAGGGGGAAGCAAGATCCAGCAGGAGTGGGAGGGCAGTGGGCCATCAGCAAGAGATGGGAAGGAAGAACTGTGTAAACGCTGCTCTAGTGGTATTTCTTCCCATGTCCCTCATGTGAGGAAAAAGTCTTTTGCATGATTCTGACTTGTATCCAGAACTAAGAGGGTGAGATTATATTTGTACCCCTTCCTCCCCTCACACACACACAAATAAAAATAAAAAAATTCAGAGTGGAAGTTCACATTTAGGGTACCAAGTTGGGCCTACACTAATAAGAACCAATGAGAGATAAAAAAGTAAAGTAAACTTTTTTAAGGAAACCCATCATCATGCAAATAATTACATGCACATTTCATTCAGGAAGCTACATCTTAATCAAATAATAGTGTGTATCCCCTTTGAAATGGTGCCTCTTCATTTTGCTTTGAAGTGTCAGACTGGAACCAGAAGAGGCCTTCTGTGTTTCTCACTTGACATGATCCCATCTGCTACCATCCAAAACTGACTGACTGAGTCAATTTCCCTCTCTATCTTTCTCTCTCTGCACCTCCCTCCCCCCCACCCCGGTATTTTTAAAATGAATGTTTGACCAAATCTGGTGCTCCCTGACAGGACAAAGACATGTCAACTACATCAACTTTTCCATGTAAGCAACGATACCCCAAGACATCTGAAAAATAACCAGAAAGATAATCTTCCCTTTATTGGCTTCATTCATATTGAAATGTATGATCAGAGTCAAAGTATTAATCTTCACCAACGAAACTCACTTCACAGCTGCTGGACTAAACTTAGAGTGTATCCCAGCCCTCTGTGAGAAAGTAAGACTCCTCTGATTGGATTAAAGGGCAAAGAAAGGGAATGTCATGTTACTCCTTTAGGCAGCAGCGATTCTCACAAGGAAGCTCAAATAACAAAAGGCAAGGAATCTGACCCAGCAAAAGCACGGCAGGCTCCAGCAGATTTTTTCGCTGGCTGTAGCAGCTACAATGAGGTCACTCTTGCCACACTGTATGGGGTGATTTCTCAATTTGTACTTAATCCCCTTTTACTTCAACAGAAGGCAGAAGGAGGTAGGTGCTACAATGTGATGTTCACATCCTCCTGCTGAGACAAACCAATCAGTAGCACAGAAAGACAACCCGAAACATTGAGTCTTCACTGTAAAGCTCCCTGTTAACAATTATCATCCCCTAAAATGCTAAAGAAAAGTCCTGAGGCCAGTTTGCAACATTTATTTTTGTCTTTGTGACATAAAATGTACAAAGAAACCTCCTTTTCTCAACGTCTGTAACTTCAGAGACCCCCAGTGAAATAGCATGTGGCCTGACCATTAACTTTGGCATAATTTGTCATTATATGTGAAAGAAAGCATAGAATCAAATGAGTTTCACATGCCAAAAGAAGATTTCTTTGTCATCACTTCCATCTTGGTCCTGTATCTGATAACTGAGGAGTGTTCTTTCTGCTTCAGACATTATCATCAAGCACAGAAGGGTCAGAACTCCAAGTTTCAGATCCAGATCCAACCTTTGCCAAGTGCAGGAGTGTTTGAATCTGAGGGTTCATGTCTATCATAGCCATGAAGAGCTTGGGATCAGGATTTTATTAGCATTGTTGCTGATGATGCAAGACAAAAAAGAATCCACAGTCCGTTTCTACAGCAGTATTGACCCTACAGGGCAAACAATAGTAAAAATGTGTCTTTGATAGTTAATTAAGCAAACAGAAATCAAAGATACATTAAGGTGAAGTGACCAGTAACAGTGCCATTTTTACAAAGTTAATATTCTAATTATAAACATAGCTTTATAAAATTTTCTACAAGTAAAGTAAGGAGTGACTGAAATATTATGAGTCGTGAAAATAGTGCTCAAATTAGAGATGGTCATAAACAATATGGGTTTCAAAATCCAACTCCTTTGTAGTTTGAGCCCATCTTATAGTTCAAATTGCATAAGGTGATTTCAAACACAAAGCATCAGTTATTAGCAAATCCTGGATCCAAACACCGCTAAACTATTGGAAAAGGCCCAGAACCAAACTTTACACTTAGAACCATCTCTTCAAAATGTACAGAACAGGCATATAAAGGACAATGTTCTGTTTACTGAATAATGTGAATCAAAAAAGTGTTAGGGCCAGATCCTTGGCCCCACTCCAGTAGCTAAAGCCATCTTGACCAACCAGTTGGGGATTCCCCCTTCATAGTCCTTCAAGTGATTTAGAGTCACCATCTAATTTTTAATGCTGCTCTTCCTCATAGAATATCAGGGTTGGAAGGGACCTCAGGAGGTCATCTAGTCCAAACCTCTGCTCAAAGCAGGACCAATTCCCAGACAGAATTTGCCCCAGCTCCCTAAATGGCCCCCTCAAGAACTGAACTCACAACGCTGGGTTTAGCAGGCCAATGCTCAAACCACTGAGCTATCCCTCCCCCTGATTGAGCGATTCCTCCTGATCTCAGTACTGAGGTAAAGGAACATGGCCAGTGTGCCCTGGAAATCCCTTGATGCCAGAATAACCCTTTGGAGGACCCTAGACAACTGCTATAAGTTAGAGCCACATTCAGGCATCTGTATCTTGTGCCAGGGACTGGGCTGCCAGGGATTTGGTCTCAGGCTCTGAAGGCCACAAAAAATTGTTAAAAACCAACTTCTCCTCCATGATTTGTGCCAAATAGAGATTAGCTGGACAGGAGGATTTACTGCTCAGCTTTTAAAGCCTTTCCCTTTAAAGTTAGCACAATTTAACTATCAATATTTGAACTTTTTCAGTATTTTGTATTACTGAACCAGAATCAAATGGCTTCATCTGCTGCCTTCCATATCCTGTTTGGAAGCAGACAAAATACCTTGGCCCAGCAGCTCAACCTCAGGAGGCTGCCGCTGTCGCTGCAGAGGTGGAGATGTATTCAGTCATATGTCTATAAGTTCCTTGGTGCTCTTCTGACAAAAGAGACATAGACCCAATGTTTATTTTCAAATAACAGTTTTGCTAAGGCTCGAGGAAGATGGATGAACTGAAACCGACTTTGATTTGGAGCTAATGGCCCAAATCAATCACTGCAAGAGGCCACTGCATTACCTCAGGTAGGGGCATGAGCTGATGGTTTTGGGGCAATCTACAAGCTGACAGCCTTATATTTGCTGATATGTTTATTTCACCCGTAAACAAACCTTTAACAAATTGCTCCGTTGATGGCTGGATTATCACTTTATGTTTATTAGTACAATACATGAGCCTTTTCTTTCAAAGAATAATTGAGAAAATGCTTCAGCCCTGAGTAATTATAAGACAGTACAAAGAGTGGGACTCCTATCACATTCAAAGTTTTTTGTCTGGTGAACATAAATTTGCATCTGTTGCCTTGTTCTGAGCAGCTATATTGGATTCTATATAGGAATGAATGATATCTATATTCAGGCCACAATGGCTTGCCCTAATATGCTGCAATTTGATTAAGGCCATGAATTCAAGGTACTGATATAGTGAGATTACTGAAATTATCCAAAAAGAGCGTGTTCACAGCTCTACATGCAAAAATCCTCCATTGTCTCCTTCAGAACAAGGAAAGCAGGTCAAGAGAAGCTTAATTAATATGGAATTAGCACAAGTCAATTTTGGTTTTATATATTGTCTTGCCCTTTGTGGCCTTAGGGCAGGTGGAGGAGATCATGCTCATATAAGTGTATTGATCAAACGGATTATTGGTTAAAGCCAGTCTGTGTAGTATATTTACAGAATTCCTATTCTGCTAGGCTATAGCTCATAGGACTCTACTAGGGAGAAAAGACCAACAATTGCTGCATTTTGACCAGGGCCAGATATGGGTCTTGTATGTAGCTGAACTCTTCAACAAGAAAGATCCAGTGAAACAAGATTATGGATTAAGTCGGCAGCTAGCTTCTTAGCCACAAGTAGTGGGTTTCTTGCCTTTTTAGCTCTACACCATAGCCAAACCACTCTCCTTTCTAAATGTAAATGCCTATGGAAGATCATTAAATAACTCCCAGTCAGCTGCCAGGTACCCAATACTGGTTTTTCAAAAATAATTAGTTTCTTTAGTGTCATTTGTTCTGAAATTTACTGGATAAAGACATTTCCTCTAATTGATTGAATAGTGCGCTCTTGAATATCATTTTCCCATTATATTTAAGCTCTCAGCAGCCAAATTAGGCATTTGCTGAAAACTCTTTTCTCATTATTCTTTGGTGTTGCATCACAGTGTTGGGATTCAGAAAGGATCCTTCTGCTTTCTTTACTATTTAGTTATCTTCAGAATTGTACCAAACCCATATTAGGCACCTGAATTACTACTCTGACTTTCATAGGTGATGTCATTCCTCTTCCCTCCCCCCCATTGACTTCAGTATATTCCTCCTTTGCTGCTACTGTACAGTGAGAGGAAGCTAGCCAGTAACAACATAGCTTTCACAGGAGCCATGCTACCTGGGAGTAGAAAGCCAGCACAGCCAGAAGCCATCCTTCTAGGTGGTGGAGAAAATGGACCTATGTTAATTAACTTTGTTACTATGTACTGCAGTCCACTCATGTTTGTTGAATGTGTCCACTAAGTTGCAATGGACACAAATAGTATGATCCTGCAAGTTACTGATTACCCTCAGTGGGGCCAAAGACTTGATGGAACCAAGTGTCCCTTAGGACATGCACAGCCCCTCACAGGATTGGCTCCTATGTTTGTAAACATGCTGATTATGCATCTTTAATTCAGCTTTGTGGAAAACATTTTCTTTAAGTCAACGTCTATTTGCATTCAGTATCCCACAGTTGAGCTCAGAATTCTCCTCACAGGAGTTACAAAATGGTTATTTTTGTACTGAATTCATGAGTCTCATAAGGAACTGAACATTGTTCCCTCAGGGAACCTCCAGGAGGAGGAGGTGTCTCCTGCCACATACCTGCCCAGTCTTCTCACAGCCCTTGCAACTTCCCTGACATCCACCTGTCTGGGCTTTGAGCATACAGAAGCCTCTGTGATGACTGGAGGAGGGAAGGATGATAGTGCAGGGGCAGTTGGGCCCCTTCTGTTCTCTTTTTGAGAGTGTTAGGTAGAACAGGTGTCACTTGTCTTGTGCACCAGATGGCTCTATCAGGCTCTGTAAATTTGTCTTTCTGCGAGGTTTTGATTGAGCAGAGAGGTTCAATTGTCTCTCTTTTTCTCTGCTCTTTACATCAGTGGCATTAACATTATAAGCAATAAATGAATTCATTTTACAGTAAGCCTAAGCTTAACAATGAACTTCACATCTAAATCATCTCCATGTTTCTCTGCTGTGTGTATATAAAGTGCAAAAGCAGTAGCTGAGAGCTTCCAATAGTGAAAACCTGCATTTGAAAATTAAAAATCCACCACCCAATAGACAATTTCTCCTCATTCTTCCTACTCTTGCTGTATAGTTGTTCTAGTCTTGTAAACTGGGAATCTGCTCATCTTATATTACAGTGGTAACATCCATCTGTAGCTGTGCTGTGAATAGCCAAAAATAGTATTAAAAAAAAGTCTATGAGGACTCAGTGAAGAATAATGAAGCTCCAGATGAAGATAACGTCTAATAATAATCCATCTTTGGTATAAAGTCAGGCAGAGCCAACTCCCAGACATGCATGGTTGTGTTTTGCAAAGTCCTGTAGTGTTTTACTAGCACTTGCTCCATAAAGTGTGTGATGACATTGCATTGCAATGATCACTCCCCTTAATTAATATTAGTCATTTTCTCAGGGTTGTAACAAGCTATATTTTCCCACTTACACATCTGTATTATTATAAGCTTTTGTTGTTACTGATGATGTTTTGTGCGGGTGATGGTTTGATTTATTTTATACTATAGCTGTTAGGCCAGGGAAAAAAGTTCCAAACGAATTTTCAAATAATCAAAGCAAAACCAGCCATTTAAAAAATCTTTTAATAGAACTAAAGGACAGCAGTTCTTAGAGTGAAACAGGCTATGCTTAGTATAAGATATGAATGGAACTATAATTATCAGTTTGGTTCAGCATTAGGATGCTGTTTTGTATCATGATATGCTCTCATTTATTTCCAGAAAACATGGCTTGGTTATACATTAACGCTCTTTCTTTTCTCCAAAGGGATTCTATGAATTATATCAAATAGATTAATGTGCTGACCCTTAACCTCTGGAAACCTAAGGCTGAATTACAGCTGTGCCTTGAGAAGCTTGAATTTTAACTCTCAGTTAAGATCTGTGCTGCAAAGATTAGGTGCCTGAACTTGACCTTCTAAAGAAACTGCAAAATTAGCACAAGATTTTCCAGTGCTACTTCTACAGTCTTTAGCAATCAGGTAGGGAAATGCTGATTATACAACTTTTGGAAAGTACACACAGCAAGAGGTTGTTGCAAGACATATCTTTGAAAATATCACACACACACACACACACACACAAAGATAAAGTAGCTTCTTAGGTCTCTATGCAGCAAGCTGTTGCATGCGGTGGACTGCTCAATCCATCTTGTGCCCCAATGTTGGTAAAAAGATTTGAAGACATAAATTGTAACTACTATGTGCCTGCACAAAGGCATAAAAACTCCCTTTATGCCCATATATGGTCTACGTGGATGTTGGGTGTGGGCACATAGGTAGATTTCTAGATTATAAGGCCAAAAGGGAGCGCACTGATCATTTAGTCTGACCTCCTGCAAAATTCAGGCCGCAGCTCCATACATTAATTCCAGTTTTCCGTAGCTCAACCTTTTAGAAAAACATCCAATCTTGAACTAAAAATTGCTAGTGACAGAGAATCCACCACAGTCCTTGGTAAATTGCTCCAATGGTTAATTGCTCTCCCTGTTGAAAAATGGCACCATATTTCCAGTCTGAATTTGTCTAGCTTTATCTTCCAGTCATTAGATCTTGTTATGCCTTTCTCTGCTAGACTGAAGAGCCCATTATCAAAGTTTTGTTCCCCAGGTAGATATTCATAAACTGTGATCAGGTCATCCATTAACCGTCTCTGTGTAAACTAAATAGATTGAGTCTACCACTATAAGCCATTTTTTAATCCTTTAAACATCCGCATCTCTGAACCCTCTCTAATTTATCAACATCCTTCTTAAATAGTGGACACCACAACTTGACACAGTAGCAATCTCCGTACTCCTACTCAATATTCCACTATTTATACATCTAAGGATCACCTTGGCCCTTTTGGCCACAGCATCTCGCTAGGAGCTCATGTTCTGCTAATTATCCATCACAACCCAAAATCTTTTTCAGTGTCACTGCTACACAGGATAGACTCCCCCATTGTAGAAGTCTGGCCTACATTCTTTTTTTCTAGATGTATGCATTTAAATTTAGCCATCTTAAAATGACTATTTGATTACTTGCACCCAGATTATTGCTGTATGTCAATGACACATTCCTTTTATTATTTACTGCTCCTGCAATCTTTGTGTCATCTCTAAACTGTATCAGTAATGATTTTATGTTTTCTTCCAGCTCATTGACAAAAATGTTAACTAGCACAGGGCTCAGACCAGATCCCTGCGGGACCCCACTAGAAATACAACCATGCAGTGATTCCCGGTTTACAGTTACATTTTGAGAAGAATCCGCTAGCCAGTTGTTTATCCAGTTGATGTGTGCCATGTTATTTTTTTATTATTCTAGATTTTTAATCAAAATGTTGTGCGGTAAGTCAAATGCTTTATGGAAAAGTAAACAAATTAATATTTACTTTTGTGTAACAGCAAAATCTAACCCAAAGAACTATATATTTTTTATGTATTATTACTGTGAAAGTTACTATTATTCCTTATATATATTTCTATTTTTTTCTTTCCGATAGTGATTAAAAGGAAATGAAGAAAGTATTTGAAACTGTGGCACTACAGCATTGTACAAAGGCAAAGGAAAGACAACATAGTATATTTAGTATCAGCTATGTAGAACAAACCTTCCAATAAGGCATATTTACTGATTTATACTTTATACTTTTTCATCTGAGAGTGCAGTTATTCAGAAAGGTGATTGTAAAAGCATTTTCTGAAACTCCATACTTATTCTCTATAGGTATCCGACTCTCTCTGTTTAGAAATTAAAATATAACTATTTTAACTGCTAGTCTTGCAAACACAAATGAGATTTGACAATCAGTTTATTTCTGCCACTTATATCAATAGCACTAGAGATTTGTCTATTGAAACTTAGTTAACAAATCATTTGGTGATGCATGAGCCAGAAGAATCCAGTTCACTTTTGCCTCTAGTCAAGAAGGCAGGTTACCAGCATCAGAAGATACTAATGGTTGATGGATCTGATCAGATCCATTGGCTAATCTTTGTATAGCTCAGAACACTAATTCTGAATAAAAGGAACAATTCTCTGTTTAATTTTAAAAGTTCAAAAGTGCTCTATGATATCAGAATGTGTATATCTGTGAAGTTTATAGGGATTGTGGTCGTTTAGGAATCCCAAGGAAATGTGGAGAAAATGAGGAAATTTTTAAAAATTGAGCTCTTTTAAATATTTTCTATTGCAAAATTAATAAATATTTCACAATAAATTCACAGAGAATTCAATAAACCTCTGAAGACCTGTTGAATCAAATTTAGAGGCTAAATTCAATCATTAAGGTGGAAAGCAGAGGAATTTAGTCTTGTTTGAAATGCAAATCTCAATGGAAACTTAACTATAGAATCACCACTGATGTCTACATTATATAAACAAAAAGGTCAAGATTTTCAAAAATTTTCAGTAGTGTCATTGGGAGACTCTTTTTGGGTGCCCAATTTAAATGAACCTGTTTGAAGAGGATTGATGTTTGGTAATTTCTGACAATCTGACCTCATGCTGGACATCCAAACACTGAGATACCCAAAATTGCTAATATATTTTGGAAAACTTTACCAGAGACAGAGGAAAAGAGAGAGAGAGAGAAATGATGTGAAAGGAAGTTTTATCAGCATAAATGTGGGATTGAGTTTCATGGGTCATGCCAAAAAGGGCCCAGAAAATCTTTTCAGTTTCAGTCAAAGTTTTGCAAAGCAAATTGGGATGAGCACAACATGGGAAGAATATGGCGAACTGTTACGTGTTGATAGATTAACCATTTCTGATAAAAATTAAAACTGACCTGAACTTCCATCCAAAATTTGAAGTGAACTCTTTTGAACCTTTTGTTGTTATTTCATATGTTTCTTTCATTTCTGTTTTTTGCAAGACTCTTTCAGCTGGGACCCAAAATAAATTTACCAAGATACTGCAAAAAAAGGAGGCTGTTCTCTTGGCATTTTTGACTCATGACGAATCAGAAATATTACAAGATAACCTGTTCTCAGGAGATTTGATTTACAGTCTCAAAGAAGGTGGGTTATTTTCATATAAGTATTTTAATTTTTGGACATTGATCAAAATAAGATCTTCAAACATTTTGAGGTTCAACCGGGGCTCAGGGTCTGGATGGTTACCATTTCTGTCATATGCATTATATCATGATTATTCCTCAGCTGTCCTGTTTCATACAAAGAGCTCATGTGACACATGGGGAGTCTCCCATCCTCAGTAAACTGAATGTTCATGCATTTAATTTTACAGTGCTAAATGTTGCCCAAACATTGATGATGTTTCACATTACAAATTACTTATAAAAGTATTACTTAAGAGAAGTTCTAATCTCACATTCACTGAAAATTCCAAACGCCCATATCAGAATCCAGTGAAAAGCACTTCCTAGTATAAATGTGTGAAATCACTAATACATTTTATATATATATATCATCTGGCCTTAGTAAATGACACTGCCTTTAGTTCACCAGTAACTTCACAGCAGGAATTGTCTGTTGCATTTGTGATTTTTAGTGAGTTGTGGGCTTGATGAAGAAACTGCTGGGTGAGGTTCTCTGCTTTGTGTCATTAGGAGGTCAGACTAATGATCCTTTCTGGCCTTAAAAAGTTACTACTGTCTGCTGACTGGAGATCTCAGTCCAGTGCTTAGTGAACAAGTGCCTACAACACAAATGCTACCATAACAATTGGCAGACTAGTTGGCAGTCTCAATGGAGAGGATCAGGGATGAATGACTGAATGGGCCAGCAAGGTGTAACTATCCTCTTACTCTTAAAAATAGTTTCTCTAAGTTAGGACTGTGGTACATTGGTGCACACGCTGTAAGGTTCAGTGAATAAATAGTGGGCCTCAGCTTCCATTGCTGTTACCTTGACATCTTTCACGAATAGTATAAAAATAAAAGCTGATCACTTGATGGTTCTGGAAATCAGAATGAAGCAAAACAATTTAAACATGTTCATATAGATATATAAATAGAATACAGTACTTAACAGAACCACCGTTGGATGGAAATGTTTTTAGATCAATTCAAAATCTTAATTATTAAACATTGGGTCAAATTTGTAGTTAGGATCTGGACCACGTGTACCATGCAGGTGGCCTAAAGGGCAAGAATTGGGACATAATTGGTCAGCTGAGAGTTTTGTGGTGGGGAAAACTTCCTAATTGTCATAAAGCTTCTGAAGCCTTCTCCTGCACCAGGCATCACTCTCCTCTCTTGGTGCAGGGATCATGTAAGGGCAGAAGAATGGAATCCTGCTAGGTACACGTGTCCTCAGCTGCTCGAACTCATGCCAGGACGGCACAGCCCAGCCCTCAGAATCAGGGAGAAATGATTGGCTGCTTGGTAGCCCCTCCCCAATTTTGGGCTCAGAACTCAGCTATAGCAGAGAATCTGCCCCATGTATATTAGAATTCAAATCTGAGCATTTTGTATTTGTGTAATAAGCCATTCATTTGCTTTGGATCAGTGAAATATTTAAATCATACACAACTCTGACCTAAGTGTCTTTATTTTTTGAATCATTTGTAAATAACCTCTGAAATGTACTTGGGAGATGGACACTGTTTGCTTGCTTGTTTCTTTGTTTGTAAAAGATAATTTTATCAAGATCAGAAAGGAACAACCAGCCCTCCTGTTCTAACAAGTCCTTTGAAATGCTGCAATAAAATACTTAAATTGTGGTTTGGATAGCTAGAGTGACCTCTGGTGTTCTTCACTGGAAGTAATTTTAAGAAAATACCTTGGATTTCTATACATCTATTTTAACATATACAAATCAAGTGGATTTGGTGCTCATGAAAATAAGGGAACAGTAGCAATGACCGAAGCCAGAATGTGCAGGTCAGTGGACAAGCTTCTGACATACAGTTCTGCCAATCCACTTGCATTCGTTCCCCTTCTGAACAGCAAACTGGTATTTTAAAAAGCATTTCCTCCCTCTAGCATCCATAGTCGGCTCTCGGATGCTAAGAGAAGGAAACACTTTTCAGCTATAGCATACTGGTCCAGGATCGCCAAGGGCAATCTAGGACTAGTGTTCTTATATTTTTAAAACAGATGACTCATGAAACTGCAGAATCCTAAAATAAATAAATAAATTGTTGACTCTGATCTTTCTAAGCTCCAAGAAATGGGTATGAAAAACACCCTCTTTAAAGAAACAGCAGTGGCATAAATATCTACAACAGATGCCTGTGATACCTTTCACTGGCATCTTGCTTTTTTTCTCTCATTTCTGTGAGTCAGATTCAAACTGGTTCTGGCTAATGCTTCTGTATCAATTTTTTTCTTGCCTGCATATTTTGTCATCATAGCCTCGTACCTTTCTGCTAATGTGATTGAAAGCAAATATGTGAGTAATAAAGGTGAAATATTTTTTACTGAAATTAGATCCACTAATTAATCATAACTCTTTTGACCAGATTTCCCCCACACACACACACACACAACCCCGCCACCCCATTTTTTGACAGGCTTATGTCATAAACTGCCCAGGTCTGTAGTTGGGGAATGTTTGTAAATTCTACATTACATTTCTCCAGGGGAAAATCTATTACATCTATGCCATCATTCTTCACCCCACTACTACATGCTTCTGGTTTTAAAAATTCAGGCATACAGTTTATTGAATTTAGCTGCTATATACTCTTGTGAGTTATGATATCTATTGGATATGGGCCTCAGCAGAAGTCCCTGATACAAGCCATCCACTCACTCCCAAACACTGAGAAGGGAGGTCAGAATCTGAACCCAGATCCAATTTTCACATTTAGCCTGTACATCTCTGTATTGGATTGAATAGAAAATCCTGAATTCAAACAAAGCTGAAATGCTGGGTGTTTGAAATCCAGATCATGATCTTAACTTGGCAGCTCAGGCCTGTCTCTAGTAATTATAGCTTTTCTTATATGACAGAGAAGAAGAAAAAATTTCTAGGGCAATAACAGATTTCCCAGCTTTTTAGTGATAGTGGAAAAGAAAAACAATTAACAGTGCTCTCACACTAGAGACACAAATAGTGTGTACTGAATGGCTGTTGGATTCATTCTCACTACCAACTGTTCTTTCAATCTTCCATGTGAGTATCTCAAAGTGATTCAGCACTAATGCAATTCTGTAAGCTCTTTTTAATTGTCTTTTTCCCTTACCTTTTTATGATTTTAATGCTCTTAGACCATGATTTTTCACATGCATTTCTTTCTTTTCATAAAAATTTATTTTATGCAATAGTGTTTAACCTGTTGTATACCAACTCACCTTTCTGTGACATGATCTTCAGCACCTGACCAGTGGAATGATGAATGAATGAATAGATAGTATAAATGCAAATAGTGTTCTATAATTTCATGTATAGCTCTGAGAGCTATCAGATTGTTTTCTAAACCTCAGTCACATTTAGGATACATTAAAAAAGGTCAGTTATTTTCTTCCATTTCCATCTCTTATGTTTTCCCAACACTGCAGTAGTAGCTCTTCGGATATGAGTTCAGGCATGTCAAATCTTGTTTTAGTGAGCAAGCTGTGCTCTCCAATTCCAAGTCTGAACTTAAAAAATACCACTGCCAAAGCACATCTGAGTTCTTGAGGACACAAAAACTTAGGTGGCAAAGAATGAAGACCACAAAAGCTAAGATATGCTATTTAGGTGACCAATTTTGAAGGCTGCTCCTGAAACTTTGACTCATTCATCCAAATCTTGCCTTCATGTTCACCCCCTTCAGCCCAACTAGTAAAAAAATCCTGCCCTAACTTGCACGCTGTGCAACTACAATGGGAAAATTTTCCTTGACTGACACCTCACGCATCTCCATTGACATATGTGGTTAGATAGGATGTAAATCAAGGCTGAATATTCTCACTGACTTCAGAGGAGTTTTTCACAGCAACGTAGGACTTTTTGTGTAGCCCCAAAGTATGCAATTTCCCAGAGCCCTTTGTGGTTCTAAATAAGAGTTTGCATAGCTGTACTGCTGAACTTCCAAGTTTCATGAGTGTCTGGAGCCTGATGAGAGAACTGAAAAGAATGTCCACTGGAAGAAAATTTTCTTGAATATTGCTTCAGTCATTTCTGGTTCCCTAAGGAGGTTTTCTTGTCTGAAGCCTCATTTCAGCAAAGCACGTAAGCATGTACTTAACTTCAGTTGACTTCAATGGGACCTTGGCATATGCTTCAGTGCTTTGTTGAATCAGGGCCTTACAACACAGAAAATTCTTAATATTATCTCACACAGCAAACTCATTTATGTGAAGTGACAGCAGTGGGTTACTAAGAGTACATTGGTACCCAATACTTGAAGGCCTCGGGCACCTAAAAAGAAAATAACTAAAAGGATACTATACTGGTATATCACACACACAAAAAACCAACCAAGTCCCAAATAAAGCAGAGAACCTCAGAACGGCGAAAAAACACCAAAATGACACTATATTAGTAATCATATATTAAAAGGAAACAAAAAAGGTCTTGAGTTTTGCCCTGCCCCCTTCAGAACCTGTGGCATATATGAAGGAGGAAGAGCTGCAGGCAGTTGAAAGAAAAGGTGCTGCCACCTGTCCTCTCAAGACTATTTTTCAGGACATCCAGCAGGTTCAGTCCCAACTACCTCAACTGCAGCCAGGGGGCAGAGACAGTCTCTTGTGTACACATATCCTAATTTAAGACCTTCACTATGGTACTAATAATTAAGCCTTGATGCACCATTGCTATATAACACCCAGTACAGATCAGAGGTGAACAATTATGAATCTGGAGAGAGACCCTCTGCAGCTTACATTGGGGAGGGTGGGGGTGATTATTCATGCAAATATATATTTACTGTTTTGTCCTTATCTACCTGATGAACTGTTCTCATTTCCATGAGTATTTTAGGGGATTAGCTTGGATGCATTTGTGGTGTTTAATTTTAGAGTGGATAGAAACCTCTGAGCATTTTTCTAATTTAAAATTGCATTTCAAATGGTTGGCATATAGAAGAAAGAAGATATTTGAGATTCATTGTTAAGGTGGCTTTGCTA